ATTCTATTCTAGAAACCGAACTGAATCAATGGAGTAGAGGTCCTCTTGAACAGCTGACAGTCGCTCAGGAAGTCGAGAAATTCACAGCCTTTAATGGAACTTGAATATTCATTACCGAGATAAAAGAGTCTTTCTGTCATCTCTCTCCTTTTCCAAATAAGAACCCAATACTCATCGCCAATCACTTTCTCTAACTGCCATTAAAATAATACATTGTCATATACTACTACGCCTTTCAAGTGACATCTGAAAAGATGGGTATATGGAAATTGGCTGTTTCCCGGAAATTCATAGTTCTTGTAAGAGGATATTATGCCAATTAATACGTACAAATATTTTCCCATTAAATAATTTGTATGTATAATTTATTACATACAATTTTCCGAGTAATTTCTTGCTCCCTTTTTTGTGATTAATTACCATTAAGAAAGTATTCTAATCACTTCGTATGGAGAAATTTGCAAAATGTTTATAAAGATTGAAGGGACTGCCCCTTCTATGGTGATATATTAATATTAAAAATATAGGAGTAATTATTTTACAGCTAACTATTCCCGACCATGATAAGCCATAGAGAGAAGTATGTAAATTCCTGCAGAGAAGTCTTGAAGTGGGGTGACTAATGTCTTGTTTATTTAAGTTCACACCTCAGATGCATGTTTAACAGTTCGAGAAAGTTTTGCTTGAAGTGGTAAATTGGTGTCTCGAGAGGGTATTTTAATTACAAAATCGACTACCACCGGATTTAATGTTTACTCGCAGTGCACATTACGTGTAACGATAGCACTTATGTGGAGATTGTACGGGCGTGGTCCCTTTGCTATCTTGTAGCTAGTAGTGTAATTAGCTTGGGTAAACTTTGCACATACTTCAAGATGTGTTCACATCCATACTATTACATTCTCCATCCAGGATTAGGAACGATATCTTGTACGTAAACTCTTGAGCCCAAAATAAGCTGTTTGCTGCAATTGAAAGTTCAGTTACAACGCTTGTATGAAAACGTGTCCCAGATTTTCAACGACGTCATCCTTTGAAGAGTTCTATCTTCTGAGATATAACGCCATGTAGTCCGTTGAAAGTCAACCGACGTTTCAGAGTAACAGAGCTCCGATTACCACCTGCTTTCACGCTTGTTTCTGGCTTGGTTTTATTCTTCAAACATGAAGATGGAGGTGATATTTTCCTCTGAAACGTTGGTTAGATTTCAACAGACAACACGGCTTTGTGTTCCAGAAGCTAGAACTCTTCGTAATCACTGCTGTGAGAACCTCAAATCCTGCGAGTTCTTTAGTTTATTAATCGAAGTTTTATAATACCATAAAGCATGAAAATATTTTGTACCTTTAGTTTAACGTTTAGAATTGAGTGGATGGGTTCACCATTTGGAATTTTAAGCATTAGTACTCATTTTAGATTTCATAGGCTGAATTTTTTCTGTATTTATTTAACAGGGTTAACAGACGTACTTCCCTCACCGACATGAATGATAATAATAAGCGGCCGGTTTCTGCTATCATTCCATTGTATGTTTAAGTTCGTTCTCACCGTCATCAAGTGGGTGGTCAGTAGACTTTTTTTGAGGTCCACTGCTGTTTTACTTCTCTTGAGATATTTTAATTAGTTATTTGTCGTGACGGTCGGTTCAGTACCTGTTAGTGGGGAAATGAACAGAGGTTCGAATGGCGAAACTTTCAAGCATCAAGCCCGGACTTGGATGGAACCTCAGCTGTCGCTGTGGGATCAAGCTGTGGCACAGCTGATGTGCATATTAAGCCTCAGCTTTGAAGACTGGGTTGCTCAGACTATAAGCCGAGAGGCTACGGGCTTCATGCTCGGGAACTCCATTCCAGTCACGGACAGACATTTTTCTGTTTGCTGTAAGTGCAGATGGGCTCTGGGGGCATCTAGCCTCCTCACATCTCTTTAGTACCGCAGGTAAGACGACTGAAGCGTGAGGCTGAACACTCGGACCATGTAGTATCAATGTTCTACTTCGGCGCCACGCATATAAGTTTCTGGCGCGACAGATAAGCACAAAAGCAAATTTTCTCAGTTCTGTCAGAAGCCTATGATCTCCAATTCAGTCAGGTCCAATGCTTTTTTGGAACCTGAAAGCCACAAAAATTCCACCACTGTTTTCTTCTCTGAGCCATTAGAAGACAATCCCCGAAACTTACTATTAATCCATAATACTTTGACATCAGTTTTAATATTATCCTTCCATTCATAGCTCGATATCTTCAATTCAGGTTTTCCGGCTAAAATTTTGTATTCATATTTCATTTTTTTCCCATATGTGCTATGTAATCTACCAGTCTCTTTCTGCTTGAAATTTATATTTTATTTTATAATGTTTCGTGAAAAGTATCAATTTCGAAGTACCTCTTTATGACGTTTCCTCTCTTGCCCTGTAACTTCTTCTTTGTGCAGAAATTCCGGAACACGTATGACGTTTTAGGAGACAGTAATGTGCCCAGCGTTTCTTAAACTTCCATTTAAGTAATCCGTCAATTCTTGCATTGGACGCTTCGTTTTTTTCGTCTTTCAGTAGGAAGGCTATCGCTGTTCCAAACATCAGACGTTGAAGAATTGCCAATAAAACTGTAATCATTACATCGTTTTGTTTTTTCATGCATTCCCTACTTCCCTTCGAGTAAGGGTATGAGTGAAGTGGTAGCACTTAACAAGATATTTGTTATATTTTCTGTATCCGTTTCGAACCGAGCATGGTGAAAGAGCTGACTGACATCGAATAGTATTTAGATAAAAGAAGGAAGGAGCAGAAATATGTAAGGAAGGAACGGTGGGAACATTTCTATTCTGTTTGATTCGAAAATATCGGGGAAAGAAAATGGAATGGAACGGATAGAGAACAAAAGGGGTAATCAATCATATCTATGACACGCTTCTCACTACGATTCTGTTTACTGGAGTCTGACTGGTTGCCTAGCGGAAATATTTCAAGCCACATCAGAGTGGAGCAAGCATTAGTTACCGGCTGTTGGTATTTCCGTCTCGAAACATCACTTTGGTTCGAGGGCACTCACAGTAAACAAGAGTAATACAAATATTATCAGTCACAGAATTAAAAAAACACAAGAATCTTAGTTCCTGCCTCAAATTAAATTCAGGATTGCAATTTCACAGCCGCATTTCCCTTCTAAAAGGCATTTTTTTCTATATCCATGGATTAGATTTCTTCTGGCAAACTATATCCATATTTAACGAAATTTATAGGATTTTTTAAAACAGCTCTACAAAGGTGGTCTAACGTAATACGGTGTGCAAGAAGAAGCTTCACAATTTGTACTCTACATCAAATGTTACTGGCCTGAAGAAAGCAAATTTGAGACAAGCGGGACAAGTTGCACTCGTAGGGATGTGGAGAATACATTATATTTTAGTCAGAGATCTGAAGACGCCTCTTGGAAGACTTAGACGTAGATGGGAGGGCGATAATTATGATTTTCGAATTCAGTGACTAGTGTGTAAGGATGAGAAATGAATTTAATTCGCAAACATTGGGATCAAATAATAATTTTCGTGAACACGGTGATTCATACTCGTATTACGTAAGAATTCCGTTGGACAGCTGAGCGAGCATCAGCTTCTGCATGAATCTACTGTATGGGATTCATTGCTGACGTGCAGCATGTCTAGTTTATTGAGTATATTTTTTTTTAAAGTTCATGAATTGAAAGAACCTAATCTGAAGAAACACAGGTCTGAAAGTGATGAATTAACATGGCCAAAGCGATACATGTCGCATGTTTGAAACGAAGTGTTCAGCACAAGATGTCCGCAGGAATTCTTATGCTCATACCACAACCACTAATATAGATATATTTTCTAAGGCAGTACGGAGTATGTCAGTCGATTTGCAATTTCATACCGATATATGTGGATTTTGTACGGATGTCGGATATTTTCATCAGAAGGATAGGATGGGATGGTATGATTTGGATTGATCTGGTTCAGGATAGGGACCAGTGGATGGTTCTTGTGAACACGGTAATGAACTTTCGGGTTCCATAAAATGCTGGGAAATTCTCGAGTAGCTGCAGAATTGGCGGCTCCTCCAAAAGGGATCAGCTCCATGAGTAAGTAAGTAAGTAAGAGAATTTTTTATTACTCAAATATCTAACTAAAAGTAAAAACACTACAACTTCATGCAGTGTACATGGAGAAGGTAAATTTATTTTCTTTGTGTTGGTACCATAAGGAATATTTCTTCTCTCCTGTGATGATTTCTATCGTTATAGTTCTGTTGTGCAAGGCCTCATACGTGCAGAGATTTTAACAATTTAATGTTGCCTGGCGTCGCGTTGATCAGGTAAATCTCTCCTTGTAATAGGCCATGGAGGCCTATAGGTTTGTTAGACATTTAGGTCCCAACGTTTTCTAGACAATCGGCTCACACATGGCAGTGAGGTCGTCAGCCTTAAGTGCCTGCCGCCCTTTATACCCATCAATTATTTAGAAGCTTTTCATTTTACTCATATAGTTCATTCTTCTCATAATAGACACCCATTATTTAACTGAACAGCATTAATATATTTGTCTTTGCAATGTAGAGCAGTGTGTTTTCTGAGAGGTAGGGATTTTATTTTAAAATATTTTGTAAGTGAAGTTCTGTAGTCTTTGAAAAGCAAGGAGTTAATTAAAGCCTACCTTGTATAAGAAAAAAGGAAGATGATGAACTTAAGACTTAAAGCGTTAAGAAGCCTATATCCACGTACTGAAGAAAAATAAATCAGTGACAGATATTGATAGAATTGAATTTTAATAAATTATGCTTGCCCGGTTTACCGTCACAGTTTTACCCGTGATATCCAGAGAAATGTTCTGGATATTCTGAGTTACCGAAGCATGCAATTGCTTTCCTCTGTGCTTCTATGCTCCCCTTTATCGCATACCTGAAGTTAAGCCTTCTCCTGTTTGTCACAGAGCACACGATATTACTGCAATGTTGTGGTTTGTCCGCTGTTGCAGGTGAAGTCGAGAGGCTTCTGCGCGAGTATAAACAGAACCAGGACATGGTACGGGGAATCGGAACCCATTTCTATCAGATCATTTACCCCGTGCAACTGCGCCACCATGAGAAGATGGGCATCTCCACGCGGGAGATAGGGGCACCCAAGGTAAGTCGCCCTTATTACGTATTTAACGACTTTCTGTTAATATTGTCACGTGTTGGGTGTGTCACGCGACAAATAACTCACTCTTACACTCCTTACAATTATTACCACTAGCAGTATCTCTTGACTTCTGGCCCAATACTTCAATGCGACGTCTCAACTATCCTTGGCCGTGACTGGATCCAGACTGTCTCTGGCGGCGGCTGTTCCAAGACTGTCTCTAACTCTGCTTATAGAGGCGTTATGCGGACAGGATACCAGACATCATTTCTCACGGTTCCGTTCCTACTATTTTGACAGTCCGCTGTTACGCAACGAGTGTTCATCTCCGGGGAGATTCGGCATTCTCCACGCAACTGCTCACTGTTATCGCGTTACCATGGAAGCATCTACTCCAAACACGTTACAATGTTAATGTGGTTATGAACAGCGAATTTGTAACTTTCGGTGTATTTATTAGTAAGCTGGATGTAATTGGCTAGGATCTTGCCTCTCAGACTTACTGACATGACTATGGCCGCGCCAAAGCTCAAGCTGTTAGTCGCTGGCTTCCCATCGCGGCGGCCTGGGTTCGATCCCGGGTCTGATGAAGTGGGATTTGTGGTGGACAAAGTGGCGCTGGGGAGGGTTTTCTCCGAGTACTTAGGTTTCCCCTGCCAATCTTCATTCCACCAAATTCTCCATCATCATAATCACCTGGGGTAGGCTACAATAGGCCAATCAGTGGCCGCAGTGCCGAGTGGACCCAGTTGGACTCCACCCCCCACTAAGCGAATTAAATTAAAATTAATTACTGACATGACCGAGGTTTTCAGCTGATTCCGAATCATTTCGTTGCGTATTATTTTCTCGCAAGTTCCTTCAAATAATTCAGTTTGGAAGTTTATATATTAAAAATGTGCATTTTCAAGGCCAAGTAAGTGAAGTCAAATGATGCATCGAAAGGAGACTATGGTTTCTTGATGTGGACTGAAGTTGAATGGTGATGGATGCTGCCGCTGCTTCACGAATGTCGCAGCGATAGGATTAAGCCTCTCCAGACCTATAGAGCAATAACAATACCTTGTCTTTAATTAAGGAACGTGCAGTGATATCAAAAGGGTTCTGATTATTGAAACTCGGTAAAATGATAATAACCACAGGGCATTAAGCCCATCATACGACACATTAGAGATTAAACGTAACACACACTGCTGCCGCGGTCGTGTGCGGCGAACGTCTTCTGCAGTTCGTAATCCACAATTTGATTGAGTTCCATTTATATATATATATATAATGTAACGTGTTTTGAATCCAGCTTACTAATCAAGCTTACTAATCTATATATATTGTAACGTGTTTTGTCTACTGAAGACGCCGTTCAGATTGTTAATTGGTTTATTTAACAACCTACAAGTCGTAACTACAAATACTGATAACACTGTTACGGGTTTACACACTCTACAAACCCTACACAATAGTCTCTTCACCCTATCTTCAATATAATACACGTTCCATTCTTCTTCCCACGACTGCTGCTATATTTCAACTAACTTATGACGTCTTCTTCACGTTCACGATTCACTCGCCACAACTGAACCCGGCGACTGATAGACTTCAACTGTCTTCGGCGGCTGCTACATTTTAACTCTCTCCTTACGCATTCCAGTCTCCCTTATAAAGCCTCAGCCGGACAGCGGAAAACCCACATCGCTTCACTGGTGCGCAAACGCCGTGTTTACAGGCGTTGCTGGGCAACGCAGCTGAGAGTTATTTATCGTTGCGTAGCAACCAGCGCGCTTCGGTTCGGCTCGGCTCACTTCGGCTCTACTCGGCACGTTACAGACAAACACCGCTTTCCTTACTGTTGCGTAACCTGGCAACCGACCGTTTATCAAGGGTCTGTCTTCGTGGTAACTCATTCCACCTCCCGTTGCCCAGCAATGGTTGGACATGTCACACTATACGTATATATGTTTTTTTTTGCTTTACGTTATTCTGGAACTCTGTGACGGAGTCATGCACATATAACACTATTCCAGTTGTCTATGTAATACATATTTAATTCCATATATAATTTAGTATATGGTATGTCACGAAATTGGGTAGGTTTAACTTAAGCAACTGATAAATTAAATCCAATCAAAATAAGCAATAAATTATATTACAAGGTATGGAAGCAGTCTCTTTGGGTTTACCTATGTTTATGATTCTGAAAATCTCCTGGAAATACTGGTAGAAAATCTCTACAAAATAAAACCGTCTGGTTACTTTTCTGTTCAAAACGTTACCCTACTTATTTTCTTTGTTAAGTGAAATGGTACCATCTTCTATTCATTCAAGTGTTCCATTACGTCTGTATTTTGTTAGCTTACTTTTTATTATCTTTGTAAAGCGAAATGGGGCTATCTGTGGTTCAGGTCCATTTGTGCTGTAGAACTCCAGCTCAAAAACTTTTTTAAGGTTCAAGCACCAACCTTGCTCCAGTTAAATGGCAAACAGGTTATGTTCACGTTTAAAATGTTAGGCAGTTACTGACATCAAGTTTTGGTCCTGTGGGTTATTACACAGTTATACTGATAGATGGATATAAACAGTTCGTTAGAACATATGCCTCCGTCTTCATGATAAAATGTAGCCAGTTTGAAAGCATATATATTCTATGTAGGATCTGAGGTCCTCGCAGCGGTCATCATACAGAGCACTATGACCTGGGATAAGGTCATGTAGTCCGTTGAAAGCCAACCTAAATTTCGGAGGAAAATATCTGCTCCATCTTCGGTCAAAGAATACTCCGAGCAGGAAAGCAAAGTGAAAGAATTTTCTCTTCCGAGAATTCGGTTGACTTTCAGCGATCTACCTGGCGTTATATCCCGGAAGGTAGAACTCTATATGTACTCTAATTCTGACCATACTTTGCACTTGTTGCCTTTAAACCTGATGTGAAACACCGCGTGTCTCATTTTAAAGTTGACAAAACACTTTGGATCAACGGAAGAGAATGTAGTACATGGGTGTTGTAATGTCTACAATTCTGTTACCGAATGACCCAGTTTGATGCTTCTGTTCAGTTACCGTCGCCACGCATCCAATGCAGTCAAAATTCAGATCGGCGGGGAACCAATCAATACATGATTCAAATAAAGGTACTGTTCTTCATTAGTTAAGCACTATGTTATGAAGACATATGAGGGAGTGGAGGTATAACTGTCTAAGGCATGTACTGTCTTCGCTCGCTCGGAAGCCGGGATCGTGGGTTCGTATCCCACCCAGGGCATGGATGTTTGTGTGCGTTTTCTGTGTTTATCTACAGGTAGAGGCCTTGCGACGAGCCGATTCCTCGCCCAGGGAGTCCTACCGTATGTGTAAGATCTAGAAAAAAAAAACCGAAGTGAACGGAGAAGTTAATGGAGGTGGGCCTAGGCCCACTGGGGCTGTAGTGCCAAGGGGGGAGGAGGTATAACTCCACCTTTCTTCACGTCGGCATTAGATAAAGATGAATGGTGAGCTTTACTCCCCGGCAGATTGACACCCGGGGAAAGATATCCCTGTACCCTGTGGATAAGCTGGTAGACAACCCCTAGGGCCGATCTGAACGCTATAGAGGAGAGAAAATTCTTACCCCTGCCTGTAATCAACTTTTTTATTGCTAGTGGGGTGGGACTAAATCCCTTGTACTGCGGCCACTTCTGGCCTATTGTACCAGCCCCAGATGATATGTGAGGGTGATCGTGGAGCAATTGATGGAATGAAGATTGGCAGGGAAACCGAAGTACTCGGAGAAAACTCGCCCCAGCGCCACTTTGATCACCACAAATCGCACTTGGCCAAATCCGGGATCGAACCCGGGCCTCCGCGGTGGGAATCCAGCGATTAACCGCTTGAGCTATGGCGCGGCCTGCCTGGAATCTCACTCCGGCCGTTAAGCCCCTAGTCCGTTACTATACCGACTGAGCTATCCTGACTCCTGTTTCCTTGGACATCCTTTCCAGTTCAGTGTTCTTCAGTAATCCTCTCACCCGACGCTATGTTTCTGAGATACTTGCAGCGTCAAAATACTAACCGCACGTAAAAGTAGTTTTCAGTTCCACCCTTCCCTAGCATTTTCATTCTTCAGATGTTGAAGTACATTGCTGTCGCAAGGACAAAGAAAACCACGCGGTATTTCCATTTCATATTGAATTTGAACAGGGGCGTGAAGTTGACCACTCAACTCCATCAAGTGAAGAGGTCAATAATGGTGGAGTTATACCTCCACTTCCCCATACGTCTTCATAGTATCGTGTTCAGTTAATTATGTAAACACAGGGTCATCTTTACCTATGCAAGCGAACTATCGTGGTCCGATTGAGGTACTATCAAGACATTTGTCTGGACGGAAAAGGAAAATCCATGAAAAACCTCATTCAGGAAAGCTGTTATCCTGGCCGAGATTCGAACTAGGTACCTCCTGAACACCAGACAGAAGCGTTACCGTATGAGCCTCCTTGCTCCCTCGCGAGAACTGAGAGCTGGCTGCACATTGATGCGACATGTTGAAGTTGGTGCTTCCGAGCACTGCAAGCTTTCTGCCTATTAATTGGATCCAGAGCCCTGAATAAAGGAAGCACTGGGACTTCGCTGGCCATTATATCTTCGTCTTCCAGAGAACAGAGAAAAAATACACGTCGATGCTCCTATTGATGACGGTTCTGATGACGAAAACTTACTTCCTGTTTATGTGCTCCAAGCCATCAGTGCGACCTCTGTGCAACCAGACTAGTGTTGCTCTATCGTTCTGTATTGATTGATCCGTGTTTACGTTTTCCATCGTGACGTTCCACCTTCCTGTATTCTTTCTTTTCGTTCTTCAATTTATTTCTTTCATACAGACAAAAGGTTATTTCTACCAAAAGGAGAAAGAAAATAAAAGAATTGGAAAATATGTAGGGAATCGCATAGCAATAGAGGCATTGTGCTTGCACTAACATGGTTGCTACAAAGCAAAGTCTTATTACTTTTTGTTTAATATGCTATCGAATAGA